GTAAATTACAAAAAAAAGAAAAAAAAATAAGTAAACAACCTTCAATAGGCGCGGTAAATGTTCGTTTCGATTCTCGGTGCACGTCGGACGGAAAACGAAAAACCCAGGAAACACCGCGCGCTGAGCACGCGGACGGACGGGTTCGGGATCGGCGAGACACGGGGCTTGTGCGGGGAGAGGGGCGCGAAAAAACAACCCCGTGCGCAGCGGATCCCTCGTTAATACCGGCGGCGGCATTAGATTATACATACTTCGCGTAATGATTGCGACCGCCGAAACAGCAACAATTTCCCGCGTAATACATTAAATACGTCCGTGTATATGCGTAAATATATGCGTGCGTGTGCGTACAGTAAACACGGCGTGCGATAGTTTTTTTTTTTTTCGCCCTCTCCGCTCGTCGTCCTTCCCCGGTCCCCGGCCCCCGCGCTCGTACGCTGTGCCCGCCGAAACGTTTTACCATGATTGCCAATCACCGAGTCGTATATAAATTGCTCACGTATACAATTTACCAAATTGCCTTTCGACAACAACAGCGGCGGCAGCAGCAACAACAACAACAACAACGATTGTCGGTGAAGGCCCCCCAGTAATTTATTCCGCGGACGGCTCGAGGGAGAAACGCCGCGGCGGTGGTGCGCGGGCGAGAAGAAAATGTACGCGCGCACAGAACAAGATGGAAACCACTACCGCGGTTCCGGGGTAGAGGGGCGCAGGACCTCGGGTGACACGCGTCTCGGAAGCTGTGCGGCCAACGAAGACGTGCGTGACTAGAGATCACGGCGGTACGGCGGTGACGGCGGGATCTTACCGAGACCTGTATCTCCGAGGGGTGCCTACAACACTTTTTTGGACACAATCTCGACAATACGCGAAGGTGGTAGGTAAAAACCGTAATGCGTAAATAATTCAACGAACATAATTCAATGAACTCGACATAACTCGATGAACATGCTTTCCTCGAATCTAGTATGTTTTTCTCGGATACCTTCGATTGTACTTCTGTAATCAATTTTTGCTGTTATACTGTCATGATAAGTTTTTTTCTCTTTTTCACGAAAATTTAGAAAATCTAGATTTTTTGCTTTTACGAAACACCGTTTATTTTTTACCGAATATTTCAGAACAAATTACTTTTGAGCGACATCAGTTAAAATACGGTGATCCCTTGCTCTTAGACTTGCATTGAAGTTTTCCGTTTACAACATTTCTGGGGAGGTGTACCCGACAATCCACGTACGCACCATATAGATGTTCGTATGATAACGATAAGATGGAATTCGCATCGAATGTCACAATACTGACGGACGACAACTGGGCCGAAGCCCCTAGAACGCGCGAACGGAACGACGGTTAAAATCTCAGATTTCCTATTTTCCCATTCCCCCGTCATCCCACCACGGAAGTTTGACACGAACGCAGGCCCGAATACATTCGGCGTACTTCAACGCAATTTCTCCAACGCCGTTCGTGTAATATTACGTCAAAGTTTCCTCGCCAATCGGTTACAATTACGCGATAAGGGGTACGCACCCGCGCACATAATTGTCAAGTGAACTATGTAATACGTCGTTGATTGGACGACGACTGAGTTTTTAAAACAATATTTAATACACTCGACCCACTCAACCCTCGCCACCATCATTGCTGCGTTGTATCGATTTTGACGGGAAATATCCTCATCACAGCTGGTGTCCCGTCTTATACATGCGCATCGACTGTTAGACGTATCAGAAAATATATTTTAATTTCGTATGTTTATAATATTATAAAAACATTCAATAACTATGACGAAGCAATTATTATGAATAAATAATGATAGTAAAATGGTAGTTCCAATGGTGGTTATAAGGAGGGGCGATAGATGGATCACCCCTCTTTGGAATTCGGTTTTTTAAATCTAGTGTATCACTGGCTTAACAACACCTTATATCTGAAAATTTTAAAACTTATGATTTGATAGCAAAATATTTTTCCGTTTTAACCACGGATAATATATAAATTAAAATTTTAAAAACATTAATTTTATATATATTTTATACTACATTTTTTCAGGGGAAAATATTCTAAATAATGGATTAGAAGCTCCAATTTCATGTTCGCAATTAGTGTTTCCAAATATTCATTATATGTTTTGTATTATTTGTTCATTACCTATTAGTGTTGCGTCAGTAGAACGCAGTTTTTCTACACTTCGAAGGTACCTTCTAATAGGTCCTATTATAAGTAATGTATAAACCATTTGGCTTTTAAGTACACAATAAACATTAAATAAGAAAAAAAATTCACTTCAAGATATATTAGTTTATATTATTATATTTAGTTTAATATTAACTCAATGGTATAATCGTATACATTACACATAATTAAAAAGTTTAATTTTCTAGTTTTTTTTACTCTACTAAAATTAAAAGTATTATTTGCTTACATTATAGAAAAATAAGTACCTACTTAATTATTTTTGCTTATGCTTTTCATAGTATTTCTGCATAAGTATTTTCTTTAAAAATATGCACTAGTCCTGCATAGTTGAATGATTATAAGTAATTTCTTGGTTAATATTTTATTTTTTTTTCAAATGTTTCTATTGCTACTAATCAAGTGGTTTGCTTTATTTATTTAGATTAAAGACATGGTTGAGATCAACAACCAGTGGAAACCGATTAAATGGGTTAGCACTTTTTTATATCCATATATGGATTGTTTCTATAGAAACATTAATGTTAATATCAATAAAATTATTAAACGCTTTGCTAAGTAAAAAAAAAAAAAAGTCATACGAGTATGTTTTTATTATAATTATCTCTGAAGGGTTTACCGGTTTCATATTGCAATATTCGGGTGAATGATGAATTGACACAACTATGTTATGATATTTATTTCTTAATGTCATACTCACGTCATCAATACTTTTCAGTGGCTCTTTGAGTAAAGTTTCGCGTGTAAAATCGGTGTGTGTACCTATACGGTTACTGATCATAAAATGTTGTCAACTATCTTATTAACATAACATTCTTTAGTAAACACAACGTTTACGTTAATCAGAACCTCTTCTAGTAGCTTATTACTCTCACTGGCAACTAATACAATGTTCCTAAAATTACAAATCCAATATAAATTACGAATATTGTTTTATAATCTATAATATTATTGAATATTATTGATACATAGTGTTTTTATACGATTTTCTATTTTTCAACCAGTTTTTTCAACAATAATCTAGATATAACAGATGTCCATCAAAATTTATATTATATTTTTTATAAAATATTTAATTTTATTTTTTATTTTTATGAAAGACCTGAAACCCATATTTTCTGCACTATTTCGTGTACGCCCCTGAATTATATAATATGAGCAACGTCTAGTTATAAAAACGCTTTTAAAATATTCGCTGCGATAAATTTAGGGACGTAAATATCGATCAATCATATCACATTGTTAACAAAATGTGAACGATAGGATTTGAATGCACACTATAAAATATAAGCTCGTTTCAAGGCGCGTATAACAATATACACAGTGCATCGTTAAGTTCTAATGCCACCAGGGGTGACGGGAAAAACGTCACCCCTAAATAATTAGTGGACAATTTGTCACCAGTAACCGTGTCAGTATGGTCAGCGGCTCTTTACTAACCCTTCCACGCCAATATTTGAACTAAAAAATATTTACCATTTAATTGTAATATTGCGTGAATTTATCAGATGTACCATAAAAAAAAAAAAACATGCGTGTAAGAGTCGTACACAAAAATTATTTGAAATATGACGTTGATGAGATTTATTTTTTAACATTAAAACCTTTATTTTCTCTAGAAAACAGCTACAGATAAAAACTGAGCAATAAATACTATTTCATAAATATTGACAAATTTTTGCCACGAATTGCACACATTTTTAAAACCAGCAGAAAAGGATGTTACTCTTTTACCGATTAAAAAAATGCACAAGTTGCACGGTGACATTAAAAATACGAAAAACATCAAAATTGTAACAAGATGTTTTATAAACTGCATGGTTAACGCGAATATCTGACGAACCGTTGAGTGTTTTAATGAAAATAAAACGTTCTGAAATTACATCACGTATAGGAATAGTTATCGGAACGTAAATTTCAGCAGTTACCGTACACGTACCGGCTCCAAATCACGTATGCGATTTGCGTTTTATTTGTACAGCGTAAAACATTATCCGAACGAATACCGCCGCGCGTAGTGGTAAATTTCCAATTAAAAAAATGAAGACTTGTCGGGTTCGGGGGAGGAAAAAAAACACGAATCCACGTGTACATTGCGTAACACCTACGTAAAGTATAACGGTAACATAGGTACACACGTATACGCACACGCGACTCTGCGGGAAATCGGTTTAAATTATTTTGAATTGTATTCTCTCTCTCTCTCTCTCTCTCTCGGTAGCTTTTTCGTCCTTGTCCGACTTCCGCCCCGCGAGACCGCAACAACAACAACAACGGTGGTCAGAAAACTAATTGACGACCCCGCAGATAGGATTTTGATCCAATTATAATATCGAACGCGCACGTGCTGCGGCGGACGTATACATAAACATCACAAAACGTACGCGCGCACGAACAACGCACAATGTACGCGGGGTGCGAACGCTCAGGAACCGTACTCGAATTCGCGATGCTACAACGCGCGATTATTTCACGTTAAATGCGGAGCAACATCGTTCCCCCCGGCGATATGTTGTACTTTACGAATTTCCTATGCGCACGGTAAATCTCTCCCCCTCCCCCCCCCCCCCCCCGCCATCTTCTGTATTATTATTATTATTATTATTATTATTATTATTATCGTACGAATCGCTGTTGGACCACTACGACTCTTGCGGTGCTCGGTAGCGCGTACACGCGAACATTTAACGCCAAAGAATAGCGGTAATAATAAATAAACGCGTTGATTGTATAATTAACAACCCGTTGTCGACCCGACGGTATTATTATTATTATTATTGTTGTTGTTGTTGTACACCTACTTATACTTGGCGCGTGCGTTTTCCCATTTCGGAAACGTCGCGTGGAGTGCTGCCTCCGTCGTCACCGGTTATTGTTGTCCGGTTAACTGTACGCAAACGGCGACCGTGACAATGCGCCGCGTTAGTCGGCGTAAATGGAAATCGCCGTTGTCGCAACGGCGCGGAAACGTTGAAGCCCTCGAAGGTCCTCCAAACGTCACGTTTGGATCTGTGCACCGTATCTCGCCCGACCCGTTGCCGCGATCGTCTTCGGCGCAAATTAAAATACGTACACGTACCTGGCGCGTGGAACGCAAATTAGAAATTCTACCGGGCTCGTGCGGGACGGCTGCGTTGCGCGGTGGCCCGAGGGAAACGGAAACGAGAACGATTTTCACCTCGGCAGCCCGGCACCGTCGTTGACAGCTGCACAACAGTATTGTTGTGTACGCGCGTACACAACACGAATAATATAAATATCAACGTGAAAAATATTTACGTTTAAATTGAACCGTCACAACCACGTCGATGCGATACAGCGCGAAATGCACGCTCGTTGTAGTACGATAACAATAACCCGACCAAAGCCTCGCGGGTTCCTCCGCGGAGGTCGTCTACGGGTGTTCGCGACGCCAGAAACGTGCATCGGTAAAACATCACGTAGAACCCCAAGGTTTGTTTACTACGGCAAACCCGAACGTTATTGGTCTGCGGAAAGTGTGCGCGAATGAAAAGCGTATCGTCGTAGACTCTTCGACGGGTTTTCGCTATGTGCCCGACTGAATTTAATGCGCGACTGTCGAGGCCCCTTAATCGAAATCGTTATTATACGTACTATTCGCGCGGATAAATTATTAAAACGTATAGTAGATTTTAGTAGTGTTTTTTTTTTTTTTTTTTTTTTAATATACATTTGGAAAAACTTTATTATAGTAAATATTAAACTATAAACTTGTACGAACACAACATTTGTATCATTCAATGAACGAAGAAAAAATGTTAAATAAAATTAATATTTCACAACTCTCCGGTGATGTATTTACGGCTACCGGTTTGAGAAGCGCTGACGTAGAGCACCTAAAACAATTCTTTAGGATTAATAGTATTACTCAAATTGTTATTGATATTATATATTGATAAATACATGACTTTTTTCCCGTAAAAATGCACGAATATTCTATTTTATTATTATTACATCATCACATATAACTATTATTATACAGGGTGTTCCTGAAATTTGTATACGCGTACTCTCTGGAGTGGCCCAATGAAAAATCTTTCGACATTTTTTTTTTCTATCTTCAAAACCAGGGTCTTAACTAATTATCTTTAGAACATAATTTCCAATCTAAAAATGAATACTTGTAAGATATTTCTTGCGAATTCCTCACGTGAATCGATATGTGGCATCGGTTTTGGGCTTGTCGTGTCGAGTTTTTCACGTCCGAGTCGCCAGAATGAGAAAATGTGATGTAACATATCGATTTGTATGAGAACTCAGCAAGATAAAATATGGTGACATTAATTTATTGTTAATTCACAAATCTGATTGATTAACACAGAATTATTGAAACATTGAATTTCAAATAAAGTTTGTTTAATTATGATTATAACCGTGTTAATTAATCAGATAGGTAAAATAACAACATATACATTTCACCTTCGTTCATCTTGCAGAGTTCTTATATAAATCTGTATGTTACACCACATATTTTGATCCTGGTGACTCGAGCGTGAAAAATGTGTGACAAGCCATATATCGATTCACGTGAGAATTTCGCAAGAAATATCTTAGAAGTATTCATTTTTAGATTAGAAATAATGTTCTTAGAATAGTTAGATAAAATCCTAGTTTTAAAGATAGAAAAAAAATTACAAAAGATTGTTCATTTGGCCTCTCTCCGGAGAGTATGCGTGTACTAGTTTCCTCGACCGCTTCAGAAACACTCGGTATACTTAATTGTACTACGTGACATAATTTCCGCTTCCAGAGTTTTGTTGGTGGCTTGTAATTAACTATACCTACAAAATAAAATATATATTACATATGAATCGATTGTATCTACTTATTCTGCTGCAGTATTCGATTAGCAAATTATGTTATAGGGGCATCCAATGAGATATTTCGAAAACCGATATTTTTCACATATTCAAATATTAATATTATTGATGTAATTTTTTAGGAATAAAAATCAATTAAATATCTGATCGCTAGTTGAAAATGTATATTATATAATATATAGTTTTCGAAGTACGGCTGGAAATCAAATTTTAAAATTACTTTTCATTTAAAAAGTCTTCAATTTTGATGCTTTTCGTTTTCTCCGCTTGAAGTTCATTCGTGAGCCAAGACACGTATTCCGAGCATGTTGACAAATCTATAAAAATTAACGATATAGTGAGTTAGACAAATATTAAATACATTTACTTTGTGTGAGGAGATATCGTAATAAGGTGGCAATATCTAAATTCTGTGTGTTTTGAACCCGAGCACCGATGATTTCGATTTCCGTGCAAAAAAATCCGAGGAGAACAAGCCCCACCACCACTCTCTCATGTACCCATTCAACAACCCCACGTTTTTTACAGCACCCAAATAATCATAATTAAACTTAAGACCTATCGTAACACGACCCATATGGAAATTTATGGCAACAGTTATCGACTACTTTAATAAAATAAAAGAAAATTTACAATCTGATTGAGTTTCGGTTTGTTTTGGACCTTGAAATACTCTGGGTATAAAATCACTCCTATAACATGGTGGCAATTTGGAAAGCCGAGATTTTTCTTTCCTCTCGTTTTCTTCGAATATCTGAGTTTCATCGCTCTGCAAAAAAATAATTACACACATAATTAAATTATATGACAAACGATTATAATTATTAGTTTTGATCAGTTCGTTGGCAAGTGCACCTACAATTGTTTCGTGCAGTGATTTCATTATGAACAGTACCAGTAAGTTAAAAAAATAATAATAAGTTGTTAAGTGGAATAAAACGCATAGCATTTTCGATTTCAAATAAACTGCTCATTTTGAAAAAGTACAGTTAAAGGGGTGCGGAAAAAAAGACCAAACGCACTGAGCGTCACGCGGTTTTGGCGTTTACGAATTCTATTGGCGGGCGCAAAGTTAGTCGTGATCGGAAAACGAATAATTCATCAAGGGCTGTATTTCAACTCTCTCGCATACGATGATGGCCTGAATAGATGGATTGAATAGCGTCTTAAGTGAGTCTCGCCAGACATGTAGAGCTATCACATTCTGCAAATCAGTGTTAATAATCCACATACGTGGTGATATTGGAAATATGCTACTAAATTATTTGATGGCTGAGAAATTTTTTTCTAATATGATACTCACGATTAATTTCCTCCAAATTGCTTCTTTTCTCTCCCGAGCTAAATGTTCATTCTCTGCGGCCGTGACTTCATCACATAACGTTTTTCGATGTTTGGCACTAGCAGCCAATTGATCATTGTACAGTAATTCTTTATCCGCTTGACGCAATACGTCAACGATCATATACTCGGCAATATGCGTCGCTTCCACGTCGAAATCCTGCAGCTAAACAAATAATATTGCTCGCTGTTATTTCGTTGAAAAATCCGCATAAAAAAAAAAAAAATAGAAAAAAAAGCAATCGTGTCCGATCGTTTATAATTCCGGTATTCGTTTGCGTATCTAAAATCAATTACACCATCAACGGTCATCGGTAGTGATCGAGCGAAACATTTCAACAGAAAAAACGCCAGAACGACCGATGAATACCGAAAATATTAGTCGTATCATAATAGTTCGTCTGCACTATGGCTTACTTTCGGCAAGTATATTCTCGTATTCTCGTATATGTATGAGGGTTGGTAAATCTCAAGTTCCGACTTTGAGGGAATATATTCTTCTTCAGTCTGAGTACCGAGAGTTTGGGACTCGGGATGGTCGCACAACTATAACACGTCCAAAACAATATACGTAAGATGAAATTATCGAATGATGGTTTGATATTGAATCGCTGAGAACATTTAAACGTATATGAACCGATATCAATATTATTATTTTTTTCAGCGTTTCGAAATGTGTATGAACTATTATCTGGAATTGATTACTTTTTCAGAACCCGAAGCAGTATCATCAGACGACAAACTCTCAACAGACAACAAGCTATCACTACACTTAGCTAGTATTCTGCGTTGGGGTCGCTTCGCTAATTTTTCATTGTACAATGCTTTTTCTTTAAGCAATTCCTGTAGAATGGCTTCGCGTTCTGCTTGGCGGACTGAGGGTGATCTTCTGATTCTCTATAAATTATATAACTTCCAACAGTAAAAATGATCGTATAACGTACTCGTATCTTGACTCGTAGATTGGCTCAGAAATTACTAATATTTTTTAATTATATTAGATATATTGTTAATATTCATTATTTCAATCAGATATATCTGTTATTTTAAAATCTAAATTTATTTTGCATCGGTCTTTTTTAATACAATCGAATGTCGATACCAAGACACACTAGACGTCTTTTCGTGAAAAAAAAAATTGATAAAATTGAAAAATACATTCATTCAATTGGTTGTTTTTTACTTAAGTAAACGGATTTTTAAGCTTTTCAAAGTGTGTAAATGTAAATACTTTTTTCATTTAACGTACAACTATATAAAAATTATAAATGATGAGAGCTCGTCTAAATATTTCATGGATATCTTGGATGCCTAATTTATTTTGAACAGGAGTCGACTGTCACTAAGGTTTAGAAATTTTCAATTTTTCCGTGCAAAGCTGCCGAACACTTACCTCTTTTGATTTTTTCCTAGTTATTGCAGCTTTTCGACGAGTTACTGGTTCGCAGGCTGCAGGCAATCCTATAGTTTTCTGTAAAATATACATTTCTCGATAGTATACAATATCTTATTATAATCACATTTTAACAACTGAAGTGACGCATATATGTGGAGGGCTCTTGGATTGGCTTGGGCCTCATCCTTCAAATAATCTCTATACCATTAGAAAAATATTAATATCAACTATAGCTGTTCAACCGTTCCTA